ACTGAGAGCTTAACTTTGATCTGATAGATGGTTCTGTTTCTATATGAGTTCCATTTTTAGGGCTATTTTAGGGCATGTTTTGGATCATACTGCTAGCAAGTCTTGTGAGTATCTGTGTACTGCATTTGTCATATGACACAAAACCTTAGGATATGAAAAGAAACACTCTAACTGTAAAATGCTCAATTGAAAAACTAAATCAAAAGTAATCCAACACTCTACCTCTCAAACTCAGTTAAGCTACATTTAATTTAGTTTACTGATGTCCCACATCTGCAACCCAGTGAAGTTCACAATTGTTACGTTGCACAGCTGTGGTTTAAAGCCTCTCTTTGCACACAACACACTGGCAGCAAAGCAAAACCGATTACTTTTTATATGCTTTTAACATATGGACCAGTTAGAAGGAGGAAAGCCTCTGTGTCCTGAGTGAAAATATATAGCTTCCATTAACTTGACCCAAATTCTTACAAAATATAAATTCTGATTCATCTTTAAGTAGAGAGATTATAATTACAATGGCTTTGTTTCCGATTCATTTGACTTAGAGCGCCTGCAGTTATCTGTTAAAAGTGAAAATACTAACACAAAAGTGCCATTATAAAAAGATTTTATTGTAGGATAAATTAGTAAAATTAAGATGCATTTAAGTCTTTTGCTCTATTGTGATGTGTGGAATTAATTAAGAAAAAAATCCGCTAAGCCCAAATGGAAACATGCTCTATTTCAGTGCATAGAAGCCTGAAGAGGCCTGCCGCTACCTACCACTAGAGGAAGGGCTTGTCCTCAAAAGGAGTGCACAGTGACAAACATGACAGGTCAAATCGTGGTTCCACTGAAAACAATGGCAAAGCATCTACGATTTTAACTGGCCAAGATTTCAGTCTATGCCCAGTAGTAACTGCTCATGGGACTGAAATGCAAGAAAATCAATTTGTTTCCCTCAGTTTCTGACTCTTCATGAGGAATCAGCTACTATCACAGTTACCGCCAAAATCTTGAAATGGTACTCTTGTCACCAAAGAGTGGTAAAAAGCAGTTCTTTAAAGTGATTTTGCAAAAGGCCCTAGTTCTTGTGTTCTTTAGTGTGCATAAAGAAAGCTTGAAACATTTTTTTCACATTCTCTGTCAGCACATGGTCCATTAGTTGTTCATTTGGGTTTATTTTTACGTACATTGTTTATAATTACATTTTGTCTGAGGCTGTAAGCAGGGTTGGAGACTGAAAGGCACAAAGAACACAGACTAAAAATCAATACTGAGGAGGAGAAATGACCTTTAGGCAGGCTAATTATAATTAATTTGTTTTTGAAGAAGAATTTATTTTCTTCCTATTTTGGACAAAAAAAATTCCCTTGTTAAAACATCACTATCCTAACTCTTCAGTGAAGTTTGTGAAAATTTCATCCCAGTTCTCTTTGACAGATTATGCTCAAATACCTAGGCAGCATGAACAAGAAGTGTTTATCAGCAGTGGTTAATATATTGATACTATATCACTCTGAGTATGTGAGCAATATCCAATGCCAACAAAATTATTAGACATGATGTTGCTGTAGCAGTAACAGTACTCAGATCTGTATTTATTCCACCCAGCCAAGCCCAGCCCCTACAGATCCTCAGAGCTAGGACAGGCAAGTTTCCCAGCGTCTCTGCTCTGGTGGTGGGAAGGCTGGAGGATTTCCCCTTCCCTCCCTCTAGGTGGCAACTCTTCCCCCTCTCTCCAGCAAGGACCTAAGACAGAGCAGAGCAACCCTGACAAAAGCTCTAAAGGTCTGTGACTCACAGAAGGGGAAAAAAGTCTGCAGATATTATATTTCAAGAGTACAGAATCATGTTGTGTGGCAGTTCTTCTGAGAAGATGAAGCCCCTCTAACACACCTTCCTATCCCACCAGCATGATCTGGTCAGCTGGAGAACATAAGGAACGAGAGAAGAAAAGTGGAAGAGGGAGCCCCAGTGGTGCTTTGCCCAAGGAGTTTGATGGTACCACCACTTAAAGGTGATGCTGCAAAAATTCCTGAATATCAGGACAATGAGTCAAGTGGTCTGACTCCTCACTGACATCACTAGTGAACGTACCAAGGCTCTCCTTAATTTTATCAATTAAAGCTCTCTTCTCTTACAAGGGGAGTCTATTTTCTGGATCACATGACTCCTTTCCTCTCTGATGCGTTAGCTGCAACAGTGATAAACTAAAAATAGAGACGAACAGGAATACATTATATCTGAATGGGAACATGCATATTCAACTGAGTAGTGGCAACTTTTTTTTTTTTTAAACTGTCTACTTCTCTCTTGTATCTGGAGTAAATTCTATTTTAAATTCAGAATGTACAGAATTCTTAGCACAAGAAGCTGTGTCTGTAGGAAAAAGTGACAAATATGGAAGCAATTGGGAGAATTGGTAGGTTAAACCAGAATATGTTCATTCAGTTTTGAGGTTAAAGGTCTCTAGAAAGTGCAAATAGATTCCAAAATGTGCTGTATGTCCATAAATTTCCACTGAAAGATGACAAAACATGCTGTACACCCTACAAAATTAGTGCCAGAATGTTAAAGTTCTGGTCTCGTATCCGTAATAGTGCACTCTCTTAACCATAAATTACTATTACAAATGTATATTTAATGTCCTGCTGTTAATTTCTGGCCCTTTAAACTACACGGTCTGCTACTGAAGAAGCATTTGTTAAGAGGGGATAAGTATATTTGATAAATTACAGGGATTAACATGATCTTAAATTAGTAAAAAAATTTAGTCTTTTTAATATTTATTTTCTTGCTGCTGCTCAGTTTTTGACAGCAGAAGACATGACAGTTATATAAATATACTTCAAACAGAGGATCTTCTCAGGGTGGGAAAGGCATCTTTTTGTTCTTACTGGTATTTAAGAACTACATTTTCAGTAATTGTCAGACCAATGTTACCAGTCTCAAATTCCCTCTTGCTTCTGGAATAGCACCACCTAGTGACTATTATACACATTGGAGATTGCTGCTTGGCAAAAACCACCTACGCTGCAAATTCCAGAGCTAGTTGCAAGCAGATGTGAGAATGTGCTGTCACTCATCTTCAAACAAAACACCAGAGATACTGGCAGAAGGCTCATTTCAAGTCAGGGTTACCTGGAAAGATGCAATATGGCTTCCATGTAAATTATTAACTTTCACGTCAGTCAGTTATCTACAAAAAGCTGGAGAAAATTGTATCAATATTATGAATCTTAATCTGTATTTTTTCTGGTTTGATCTAGAAATGAGGCACATGTTGAGTGGAAGGAAGAGGGCTAAGAGGCAAGGACAGAGTATGATGGGACATTTATACAGTCACTATTCTTTTGTTTACAAAAGCCCCTTTGTAGAAAGTTAAGAAAATAGCATTATCTTTCTTCACTGAGCAGAGATGAAGCAGCATTGCCAGCAATACCTTCTGTTCTCAGCCAAACCTTTCATTTATCTTGCAAGCTGCCAAAACCAAACCTGGCAACAATCTGATTTTAGGACACAGAGGCCCCAGCACAGGATGTGAGTGCCAATTACATTAGACAGCTGGAAAAAATAGAAAATCACAAAGACTTTTAAAAAATAAAAATGACATAAGGGTTTTAAGGTATTCTTATAACACCATGCACAGGAGCATATGCACATTAATTTTTTTAACAGGATGTCCTGTACCAGCTTGACAGAAATACAGACAACGCTCAACTTGCTGTGTGCTCTTCATGGAGAGGTAAATGTTCTATAATGGAAGGCAGAAAGCACACAATTCACATAAACAGGAAACAAGGAAGAAATGTAAGAGACAAAACAAAAAAGTGGAAATACACCAACATGTTAACTATACATTACTGCAATAAGAAGTATCTTCTTACTGAACCTTTTATGCATCTTGGGCAAAATACCCAAGTTCAGTGCTCCTCTCACTGAAAATATCTCTAAAAAGCCAGAGGAGGAGAAGTTTGCATCAGCATTCTGATTTAAAAATAGCAATAAAATCAGAAGTGTAATATTTACAATAACTGTGACTGATAACTGGGACAAAGCACCTAATCTACTTCATTCTGACAATAGCTCCAAGGTATAAAATGGCTAGTAAAGAGGGGTGTGGAGGCACATTTGATCAGATGTGAGCTCTCTTTTTTGCTTTGCTTGATCCATCCAGCATGACTAAAAGAATCTCTTTTACCAGTTTAACACGGATTCAAATGTCAGAGATAGACACAAAGATTCTTTGTTCCCCATTTGGGCACAAACCAATCCTACTCCATCTTAAACTATATCCCCCTTCATTTAAGCATGTTATAGCTGAGAGGAAAGCAGATTACTCATTAGATCCTTCATAGGAAACTTTAAAAGAGCAGAGCCGAAAAAAGAATAAAAAAATTGCCCAGAAACAGAGTTTTAGAGAAGTAGGTAGCTGAAGAGGTTGCAATGTTAGTAAAGACGTGCAGAAAGTACCTGTTTTTGTTAACGGGCTAGAGAAGAGCTGCTGAAGAAGTTTGTTCTCTCTGTTCTTCTCAAAAAATGCACAGGCATCATATAATACCTAGCATGGTATCACCATGAATCAGAAAAGTTGCCAAAAAGGGTTACCAAAAAAATACTATGTTCTTTAAAATGTGAACAGTCGAGATGACCGAGTATACCAGTTAGTTTGGCTCTGACAAGCCAATGAATTATCTGCAAAGGGTACCTTAAAAGGGTACAGCTACAGCAGTGTCTTCAGAATGTGAACTGGCTATAAACAGCACCTACACGTCACTGTACATCAGATTGGGTTAAATGGCTTAAATCATGTTGTATTATGCTTTGGCATGTCAGACTATGGTATACATGATGCAATATAACCGAGATACCTCATTAAAGCTTAAGTTGAGAGTTTACATATGAAATAAGAAAGGTTGTCATCATCTGTTTGTTGTCTGCACCAAACTTGAAATCTATGACTAGACCTGTTGGAGGAACAGGAGTAAGTTGCACATCTAGGTAAATTAAAATAGGCTTCTCACATAGTAGGAAAACAAAACATTCATGTATTTCAAGTATTTTAATTGTTTTTATTAGAAATTAATGCCTGCCTATTTGTATTCATATAAGAATCAGTTAATTTTGTTTAACTTTTTATTTTTTTTTAAATTACAGTCATTTTTTAGACATGTTTTATTATCACTAGCATAATTCCACTGGAGTCCATTAGTTTACACAGAAACTGAATGTTCTCCTGCACTAGAGAACTGGCCAGTAGTGTTTTTATGACTTGGCCATATGGTACAAAGAATTTACTAAACCTGTGTGAAATTTTACAGTTATTCTTAACAAGCCAGAAAGCTGGACAAAGTTTACTAGAACAGATCTTAAAATTTTGAAGTCTTATAATGAGCTAGAGAAGAGACTTCATTGATAACTATATAAAACATGGCTATTTCATTTTGATTTTGTTTATAAACAAAGATTTGGACCTGAAATCACAAGCAAAGCGGACGATATGTGAAACAAGTGGACTGTTATTCCCCATATAAAGTAACAAATGAACTGCTGAGAACAAAAGAAGTTAGGTGCTACACAGTACAAGAAAACATCTGTGCTAGCTAGCTCCAGTCTTTCCAATGCTCTCTATAGGACTTTAAGTTCTATTACAGATGCTGTTTTACATTGCGTTTTATTCCTATACTTATATACACTCACGCACAGAACTATTCACACTATGTTAATGATCGTGGTGCCTGTTCTGGCTCCAGAGAATTGTTCCTTTGGAATTATTGTAGTAATGGTGGTTTTGGTGCCAGATTTCTTTCAGAATAAAAGGTGGTTACTGTCTACAGAATTTGTGAAAGAGCCCTATGGATAGGTTCCAAAATGAACTACTACACATGAAAATTTTATCACAGATTCTAGGTTTCTGTAAACTTTATCATTTTGTCTCTTAAAATAAGAAAAAAAAATCATAAGGCAGAAACTTTGGATAAAATAAATAATGGCCGTACACTATTGTTTAACTAAATAAAAATCACAAGATCTTACCTTTCCAGCATAGTGCTGAATACCAAAAGAGAGTTCTACTCCTTTTGGCCTCCAAAAATATTTGCATCGTAAATTATCTTCAAATTTATCTAGACATTGAGAAGAGACGTTGATGTAAGTGACTTAGAATGACTAAGTAAAATCTTCATCCCAATTAGGGACAGTTTGCTGCTCAAGAAGCCAGAACTACTGTAAACACATATATTATCAGATAGCTCAGAAATAGCTGTGTGCCAGCTTCTCTGTGCTTTCTTCCAAGCTGCCACTTCAGAATGGAACAGCTCATTCTAAACTAGCCCAGAAAGACTGTCTTTCAAATCCCACTGCTTGTGGATAGTTTTGTGCATGGAAAACTATCAAATAAGAGGGGCCAATTAGAAGGTATGATGACTTTTCATATTTTGCTTTGAATTTGCTTACATATATATATATAGGGTTTGGGGTGGATTTATTTCAATTATGTACATTCAAAGCTGTGCATATATCTTGCTTGCTTAAATGCCTATTATTTGTATTTTCCCTGTCTTCCTTTCTCCATTCATTTAGTTTGTGCATCATGTTTTAAGTATACGTTAATGTCTTCAGGCTGGGACCATCTCTCATTTACCTTTGTACTCCTAGAAAGAAAGAAGCTTCTATCTAAAACATCTTTGAAAGAGGCTTTCTGTTTCCTGTGACAACCTCTAAAGAGCTGACAGAAAAACAAACATCACTTTCTAAGAAAAATGTCATTTATGCCCTGTGATATTTTGTATGCTCTTTAATAATTTGTAATTAAATTAGCACTGATACTGTAAAACTTGCTATTATATTTCTTTATCTGAACAAGCAACTAGAGACCTGAGGCCAGAATTAATTGATAAAATTCTCTGTCATGTTGTGTAGGTCAGAAAATATTATCAAAATGTTTTTTCTAATGTTAGAATCCATGAATATTTTGTGTTAGGTTTTTCTTTCTATTAAAATTTAATCAAGCTTGTATTTAAAGCAAAAAGAACCAAGTTTGGAATTTTGGGGGAAAGGAGGTGGAATTAGTGATTGTCTAGCACATCTGGAGAGGGCAAAATATCCCGCTTTGCTGTCTCCTCGAGGGATCCTGCTGTACTGTGTACAGATCAGCAGTAAGACTGATTGGCACTGGACCAAAGAAAGTGTCTCTGTGAAAGTGTAAGTTCAATATACAGTATTAACTGATTTATATGACCCACAGGGAGGCACACAGGCTTAATAGACAAATGAGGACTGGAATGAAACCATAGCATTCATTCTACCTGTGACCTAAATTCAAGTTTCACCCCAGCCTAGCAGAAGTGAAAAATCTTAGATATACATCATGCAGCTGTTATTGTTCTCTCACTAACAATTTGAGTCTTTGCTGCACATTCCATTGAAGGAACTGGAACTCTCTGTTTCATATTGCATGTAAAAATGTAGCTCTAGTAAATAAAAGCAAGACAACAGTTTTAAACATGGCATGCACTGCACGTTTTAAAGTTGGCACCAAGATTTGTTAAAATATATGTAAAATATGCACAAAGGAAGGGAAATTTTCAGCCAGATGGCACACCAGAAATAACACACACTTTCTATTTATGATGAGATAATCTGGAGTGAAGCAGTATTTTCTAATTGGATAAACATGGGCCTAGGAGTCTGGGAGATCTAAATTTTACTCTAATGCTGCTCACAGGGTGGTCCTAGACACAAGATTCTACTATGTCTCAGCCATCCCTTCAGTAAATGGGGATAAATGCTGCTTGATGTACCTCACATACAGGGAAAAGACACAGGTTATTTCCTTGTAACACTGGAAAGACAATAAGACGGCATCTGATATACAAGATAACTTTTGCAATATAAAAAGAACAGAAAACACTTAAGCAGAGAAAAATGATGAAGTACAATGAAAAATATACTCAAAATGTCAAATGAAATAGCATGGCAACACCAGGACAACTAGGCTAATAAAACTTGAGTAAATACGCCATTCCACCCTCTCAAAATATATTTCTTATTTCCCAGAATTCTTGTTTGCACATACCAACTAAAGTTAGGTCTGTTGCCTGAGGAAATCTACTTTCTTCATCCAGTAGAGACAGGAGACCCATGGGTTTCTGGAGGAACATATCTAGAAGTGGACGGTTGTCCTCATACTCCACTGTAGTAGCATCAATGCCCTCACTCTGATATTCCATCTACAAAGTCACCAGCACAGTTTTAATATTGAACCAGTAAAACCAACATCATCATTAGGACATTTATGATGCACAGTAATACCCTATGGGCTCCAACAACATTATTTACAAAACTTCAACTGAAAGATGTCATTATATGGCATTTAAATGACATACCCATTTCATAGTTTATAATGTACTCCTGAATATGATGTATGGTTCAGGATGGCTGATTCAACTAGACCTCATCAGAGTTGAATTTACCTGCTCAAGTGCAAAGATATGTTGATTGAAATAAAACTGGATCTGTTCATTAGCGATATTTATGCACAGCTGTTCAAAGGAATTTCTTGCAAAGTTCTCAAATCCGAATATGTCTAGTATCCCAACATTCATCCCATTTTCAGCATTGCTGCAAGTGAAAATACAAACAAAATTCATCATGGGCAACACCAAGTTAAAATAAAAATAAACATGGCAACTAAGATTGCATAATTGATTTAATCTGCTGCAAAACCAAGAGGATAAAAAGTGTGTTTGAACCTAAGACAACTTGTGCATTTGTTCAGCATCATTAACACTTTTGTTTTCCACTTGCTTCTTGCAAATTTCCACAAAGCAGCCTGGAGAATCATAGGTATATAGTAACAGATGCTTAGCAGCCATATTAAAACAAGAGCTTTCAATAGGCAGATCCCAAATAAAATCTATCGTCTGCTCCTCCAGGTAGACAAGAGGTGTCTAGTTTTAATAGTATGGTTTTGCTATACTCAGAAGAATAATTACCAAGTCTGCTGCTGCTACAAGCTGGACTGTTAAGGAGCCCATGTGCTAGCTCAAGTATACTCATAGCACAGTCACTATTAGAACTGCAAGTATGGATGAGGATGTGTCTATATGATATAGTGAAGTGCCAAGTAGACATCTTAGATCAGAGACATTTTCATGTCATCTAAGGGATTCCCTTGTTTCTAGAAATCTCTACAGCTGCTTGAAAAGACCAAAGCAGCCAGATCAGTACCTGACATTGAAATCATAAGGATGCACAACATGAACACTTCTGTAATTATGAAGAATAAAAAAAATCATCACTTACATCTCAAGTAGCAGCACAATAATAATCCAAGATATGTATTTATTACTAGCTTACAAAAGCAGGAGGCCTGTAAGGACTGTGAATACATACTAAAGTTTTTCAGTGTACTCCAATTATTTACCAGCCTTCAGTATGATTTTAATGTTCACTACATAGGAAGCATCTTTTTAAAGATTTGTACAGCATTTTAACCATCCAATTTCCATTGACTTCAGTAGCTAAATTCCACATAGCTCTTTGAAAATGTTGGGGTTAATGTACTGGAAACAGAATTCAGTATCACAGCATGAAAGCCATTTTGAAGCCTTAGCCAAAATAAACACAGCACCCTTTCTGCAAAATCAAAAATATACAAATGGATGAACCCATCAAAGACACATGCACAGTAAATACACATGATTCAGTGATGTGTAACTTGCCATATATTTTTATCTGGCTGAAGCAGAGTATTAATACGATTTACGATCCAGCTGAAGAGACGGCCATAAAGTGCTTTAGACATGGCATCTCGCACGTCAGCTGCTTTGTCCACAGTGTTTGTTCGGATAATAGTCTCCCCTCGTGTTACAACACAGTGGGAGGTTAGGGCCTCTTGAAGTTCTTCTGACCCAATACTTAGTAGTGCAGCAGCTAAAAGACAGGGTAAAAAAAGATACACCAACATGATTATGCAGTGGAAATCACCAGCATGGCCCAACTATTACCACGAGTTAAGAAATTCTCACAAATACTGTCAAATTGTGTTTAGAGAACTGACAATGTTAAAATGTATTTACCATTATCTAAGGCTTCTGGGTTGGGAACCTCACTTTTATCTGTTTGGTGTTGTGAAGAAATGGCAGCAAACTCAATATTTCCAGTATTTAAGATTCCAGTGAGAATTCTGTACACTGAGTACACTTCCTGTAAAAGATGATAAGAAGCCTCATTAAGGAATACAATTAGATATATAGATCATATTTAGGCTATGAAAGAAAAAGGTGGGCTCTCGAATGTCTATTTAAGCTTGTAGCTAGCTCTGAGACGAAGTTCTACAAATTCAGGTAAGCTCCTATTGACACAGAAAACAGCATGATACAGAACTGTGAATGGACTTGCCTGAGTACCCAGACCTCAGGCTGGTCTTGGCTTCCAAGTGCGTGGTCATGCTTTCACAGTTCACTTCTGTCATAAGAGAGATTCTGTGGCACAGGTGTGCATACACAAAACCAAATGGCAGCCTGTCACAGGCAGTGCTGGAGGTGTTTTTTATAAAGGAGATCAATAATGGTTTAGCAAGTGGATCTCTTACCTCGTCAGTGAATCCTATAATTCTAAAGCAATGCTGAATCGCTTCAAATTGCCTTCCATAGGAATCTTTAGTAACAATATCATGCATTACTCTTCCAGTTTCATTATCAATATATCTAAACAGAGTGGGAGAAAGACAGTACCACACTAGCAGATAGGCCAGTACAACCTCCAGTGACTTCAATGCAAGTACCTCAGTAACTGGAAAGAACATTTATTTTGATATCTTCCAATTATATAATTTGGTGCTAATTCATAAGACATTTTTGTTTCTGTTGCACTAACTTCTGCTTATTCTTTGTTAATATCTATTATAGTGTTCCCAACATTTCACACACATCCCCTCACCCAATACAGATCAGATGCATTCACAGTACAAATACCAATTAAAAAACACAACTCCAAAGCATATTCTGGGTTCTTACTGAACCGTTACAGTAAGAAATCATAAGGCAATTGTCCTGATTTGACAGTATGACAGAATATCTACATAATAGTAAGATTGATTCTTCCTCCTCCTCTTTAAATAGTTCAAGTTCTCAAACAAATACAAATAATGTAATGCCTTATTGTCCATCCTCTTCTTTGCTTGGGAGGATTAAAAAAGATCCTTAAGGGATGGAGGATTAAGAGAGATTTTAAAGCATCATATCGAAAGCAAGAGCTGATCAATAGCTAATTACAACAAGCAGTTAAAACAAGCGAGTGATAGTTACCTGGGAGGCTTTTTATCAGGAAGTCTATATTCAGAAAGTTTCTTCTGATGATAAAGGCCAGCATAAATATAATAAAATATATGGAAATTTTTCTCTCCCCTGGAAAAAAAAGGATCCTTTTAAAGTACACGTGGTTATTCTTGTGGCATCTTGTAAAATGTAAAAGGAGAAGTTCTTATCATGAGCTTACTGAAGTAGGTAGCAAATCTCCCACTTGTTTTAATGGTGTAGGATCAACAGCTGCGAAACACAGAAAACCCAGACAACTACAGTATTTCTCCAAAGAATGAAGCAGCTCTGGCTTCCACTCCAAAAGTACCTTACTGACTATTTTTGTCATCACAGCACTGTGAAAAGGATCACTGCTTTAGCAGAAGACGCAAAAGCATTTAAAATAAATAATTCTGGAGAATTAAACAGCATCCAAACATCATATAAATGTGAAACGATAGACAATTAATATACCTACACAGCCTGTTTTATGACCCTTGATTTTTCAAGTAGATATTCAGAAATCTTTGCCCCCATTACAGCTCCTGTGGGCGTAAACATCATTTCCAGATATTTTCCAAAGCGACTTGAGTTGTCATTGATGGCAGTGCAGGCATTCCCAAATGCTTCAACCAGAGGATTCACCTGAAGAATTTTCTCACGCAACGCACGGTTGTTGGCCTTGACAGAATAGATACAGATCAGAAGGATCATTAAAAGAATAAATTGCTTACCCACCATCCAACTCTTGCTTCAGAAGCATAGCAACCCTTTCTCATGCTTGTATGAACTTATGATACTGTGTTAACCTTTCTACTTGTACAACAACAGGGCCAACAAATTGATGAGGAACTCTCCCACAGGTAGGAAAAAACAGGTTCTTCCTTCTCTGCAATTGTTCTGCCTCTGAGGTGTCATATAATTAGAGTATCAAAACTATCAAAACCTAAACACTTCTACTTAAGGTTAACCTTACACACTTGACTTCACCATCATTTTTGCACTAATAGCATTACTCATAACATTTAAATGTATAAGACCTGCTAAGATTAGAGCCATAGCAAGATCTGTCATTCTTTATTGCATAAATGAACAATGGTGTATGTGATAAACGCTGTAGATAATTACAGGCACTGAACACTTGGGACCTGGCACCTTCTCTTTTAAAAAATACCAAATGGCTTGATGTAGGTCATATTCTACTATCTTAATTCAATATTCTCATGTGCATGACTACTACGTCCCTAACTCAAGTGGGTAAATTCACATGGACGGCTTTAAATATTCAAGATTAAATAAAGTGGAAATTGAGGGTGAGGTTGGGAGGATTTGTTCATAGTTTTACATGATTGGCCAAGAAATACCTTTCCCAAGAAGGTCAAATGTTGGACAATCAGATGGGCACTTTCCGTCTTTCCAGCACCACTTTCCCCACTGATGATAATGCACTGAACACACAAAACAAAACAGTTAGGTGCACAGCTCACCACATGGTCGATTTCAGCTATTACTGCTCCTATCTGTTATTTCATGTTTAGTACCAAAATACTACAAAATACTTTAAGGGTCAACTCTCTCAACTCCCTTCTGAAAGGAAAGATCAGCAAAGGCTCAGTGTAATAATTTATTCCCTAGATTACTAAAATGCATCTCACAATGCCTGATAGCAATGTGCATATGTGTGAAGCAGTGATTGAATTTCTAAGGGGTAAGACACACAAACAAGTGACCGCATCTACAAGTTAACACACACTATGCACATATGCAGCTTGTTTCAAATGCTTAAAACTCAGAAAATTGCCACAGCAAAGTTGATGTGACATAATTCAACAGTGCATCTGAGCTCACTGCATTGACTTCATATGAACTAACATGAAACACAGGGTACAGCTGTATTTAATACACTGACCAAAAGCCTGCTCCTGGCTTTAAAAATAATCTTAAATTCTTGCTGCTGTTTAGAGAGGATATTCTGTAGGTGATGCTGATATTCAAGCTAGAATAGCAAACTAGTATCTAAACATTTCAGAAGAGTATCTGTTCATTGGATGATTCTGGGAGAACGTATCCATCTTCCTCCTGAGTCAGCAGTCTTTAACACATGGTACTTTATAGGCTCTCCAAATGGCTTCCAGACTCAGGGATTAGACAGAATGGTCTAAATCACTTGGTATCCTCCTCTCCACTGTAATGCTTATGGACAAGATGGAAGTAGAAGGCCAGTACACCTTGAAGGCCAGTTCACACCTGAACACTGAAGCGTGAAAATTTCAGATCACAGCAAGGAAGAATTCTAACAACATTTATTATTTTCCCTTTTTTTCATGTGTTCTATGGGTCACCAGTACAAATATTAGTCTACTTAAGTATCAACTGACATACAATTAAATTTTAACACTGATCAGTTGCATAATTTGTGTGGTTTTATGCAAACACCTCAAAATTATTTGCACCACACTGTGAACATACAAGATTCTTGGCTGGGAGAAGATATAAGGTCCTAAAACTCATGATGCAATGACACAGAACTGAGTTTTGTGAAAAGGTTTGAAAGATGTAGCAGTTCTCTGGTGGTGTCTTGTGGTGTCTGACAGCAGGTGCAGGGATTGACTCTAAATAATGCCTGCAATATGATATTTGCAGCTCATTTATTTGCTTCTTGTTGGGTACTTTTGTTCTTGGAAACAGATAACCCAGTGATGAATTTACAGGGTTATGATACCTAAATTAATTGTCTGTGTGATGAGAGAAGCCATGTACAACAGTTTATACAGTTAAAGTCCATGAGTTCTTGTAGAACTCATAAAACTCTTGTAGAATTGGCCAGAACTTGACTTTAGCTTCAAGAGAAATGTTAGACCTGGAGTCAATTTTCAGGCTTCACAGGAAAATACAAGGGAACGTTCAATGGATAAACCAAACAGAATCAATACATTTTTGATCTGGCTACAGTGTATCTAATGCACCTTTACCTGAAGAACCAACATAACATTGGCCAGGTAATGAAGATAAATATGCTCCTGTAATCCTTTGCAAACAGAAAATAGGAAACAGATTTAGTTCTAAATGCAAATTACTTCTTAAAAGGGTATGAAACATATACATTAAAGATGTACAAAGTTAGCCTGATGGGCTGATGTCAAAACTGATTTTTTCCCACAGATAACAAGATCTCACATAACTTATTCTACATGAGTACCTGTTTTCTTTAATGCCTCCATCAAAGAGCATATAAGCCATTAAAGTAGTATTAGCCATCTCTCAGGCCAGTGTACTTCCACATACTCAGTAGAACTCTTTTTCTCATCTTCAATGTCTCTTTCATTTGTCTACTTTGCTTGGTATTTTCTGATTGCGGGATTTTTTCTATTTTATTCTGACTTGTGATTTTAAAAAAGCATTTTCTATTAATTATTGTGTGATGTACAGGGTAAAATCAGGAGGATTTTAAAATAAAAACAATTATTAACCCTCAATATTCATGTGCATACAGCACATCAAATTAGAAAGAGTACAAAGTTACAATCTTAACAATGTAATAAAAAGAAATCTAGCTTCTACTCCATGGTATTTAATTCTCACTAAAATAATTGCTATATAATTGGATTTGTGTCCTTATTACATTTATATTAGACCTATCCTTAATATATTTTACTAAAAGAGTCAGTTAATGGTTCCTATTTTGTGACTTGTAGTTAAAGGAATTGATTATCCATTGCTTGATAGTGTCTTTATGCAATGGAAAAGCAGTTCAAACTCTGTTAATCTGCTATGACATTGAGACCCTCCTATTTTACATAGGTGTAAATTATTACAATACCTAGTGCTAGGCAGGCTAGAATCAGAGTGTGGAGCAACACTCTGCACCTGGTGTCAACTGCCAGGACTTCATGGGTGTCCAGGAAACTACATTGGTAAGTTAACCTTATTTGACCTTTTAGTCTCCTTTATGCCACTGTGTCCTCTTCAGAATTCCCAAACCTGACTAGATTTCTACTCTGGTTTTCCTGATATAGGAATAAAAGGCTTAAGGAAAAAATTTCCCAAAGTACAACAGAACATTAGCCATAGCCATGCAGCATAGTGGCAGTATGATTAATATGAAATCTAAACCAAAATGAACAGATTCTTACCTGATCTTTGCTGAATGTAACCATACTTTGGTAGGCAGCATCTGCAGAGGCAAATATGTGGGGGGGATTTGATGAACGCTTCACACCATGATAAAGCTTGGAAAACTGAATTTAAAAAAAGAACACACAATAGTCAAGATATGTGACCTAACTACATAATTAAGAACTGAAAAGAGGATAGTGACTATCTTCCATCTGTTCAGCAGAAGGCAGTTGCCTGTTTTACCACAGAATTTCCACTGAATCACCTGGAAGAACAGTGACAATTCTTGGCACTGCCCAACTTCCAGAACACAAATTACAACAGCTAAAATGCACTCCCAAGTTTCCCTCACAAGACAATGAAGAGAACTGTATCACAAGGAACAGAATTTCCAACACAAGCATTCAACCAAGGAAATACCCAACCTATGCAAAAAAACCCTTCAAAGATAACAGTGAATCTGAAATTTGGCCCCTCTACCTGCAACCTTTAGGCACCCATGGACACTAAGATTTATGGCTCCACCTGTCTTCATATTCGTGGGGAATTAAGCCACCTCTATCTTTACTGCATTTGATTCACTTATTTCTTTTAAGCAGCAGCTGATGGCACAGGACATACAATAACGCAACAGTCAGAGCAATTCTTCAGGAAGTGACAGCCTCAGCATGAGGAGGTTCATATAACCATCTTCTGTTTCCCAGAAGAAAGCCCTAAATGCCAGACAAGAGGCATAGCTGCGGCTGGGGTAATCTTCATCCCTCCTGTGGAATTTGTGCCACCAAGCAGAAAGGAATGAAATCAAACAAGACTGAAGCTCCTAGCTTCCAACATAATTTAAGTATTTTAGCAAGTGGTGTTAACATAAAATATAAAGTCAGTACTGTCCACAGCTTGGAATCTCTCTTACCTGGGGAGAATAAATGCTGAGATTCTGGAAGGGATTTAAGGCTATTAAAATGTCTCCAACATAAGTATAAATTTGTAAGTCAGCATAGCGTTTCTGCAGCTGATGGATAATTGTATCCTGAGAAGATTACAAAAAGTTTGATAGTTAAACAGTATTTTCCCAGGCAGAAAGATTTTTGTAAATATGCTGAGAACACTAATTAAGAAATACTTATTAGAAGTGTTACTAATTACTTTTCAAATGCCAACATCACAAAACCAAACAAATATTTTCAAAATTCTTGCTAATGCCATAAAGCTAAGTTATATGGCAACCCCTATTTCCAGATTAGCACCTATTTTGTTATACCAGCCTGAGAAGCAAACCTTCTGACGAGAAAATGGCCATGCACATTATTACTGCACTTCACAGCACATTTCCATTTCATTTTTTATTTGACCATGAAACAAGGATAATAATTTTTCAAGGATTAAATTTTAAGTGGTAATAAGAGACTGTTTTAAACAGGACAGTAGCACAATTTAGTATTATGTCTTTTTCTGGCTGACATGCAATTTAAGGATCATCAAAGCCAAAATTTACAGATACTCTGCATATAGGTGATATAGTGAAATATGCAACTGATATTGTTTTATCACCTTTTATCCAGAAGCTGTAGCTACCATACTACTCTATATAAATTCATCAATTTTAGGAAAAATTACTTAAATCTAGAACTTCGTGACTAAACTTCACATTTTAGGAAACTCACAAAATAATTTAGACTAGCGTAGCTCATAATTAAATTCTTCCACATAATAGGATTCACTGCTACTGCTTTTATGTCACTATATAGAATATTAACAAAGTGATGATAGCAGATCAGTCACGAGACAATTCCGTTGCCACGCTGAGACAAAAGCTTCCAAGAAGGAACTCTTCTTACTCTGTTAAAAGAAGCCTAAAAAGCAGAAACAGGCAAAATGTGAAGCAGAGTTGTCAGAAATGGCTACTCGGCCAGTACAGTACCTCATCTAGAACTTCTAGATTTACCAGATCGTCATCCAGAGAGTGCATGTCAGCTCCATCCACATGGTAAGGTCTTCTAGTATGTATCCGTTCATGCCTGGAAGTTTATTAGTAGAGCACCAGTGTTATAAAACTGTATTGAAGACAGCAAACATCAAGAGGCAATGGGAAATCATCGGTGAGTGGTTTTGTCATGCAGAAAACACAGACACGCTCTCTGAAATACACATTTTTGCTTGAAATATCCTTTTATAAAAGCAATAGGTCAGCTTGCTGTCCAGTGTAACATCTGTTTTCTCTTTCACAATATATAAGCCTACCTATTTATCAATCCTCAGAGATGAAGATTTATCTGTAGGCTTACTACTCCCCACTTACACAGTAAAGTATAAAAAATTTCTCCTCCTTTTTCCTTCCCTTATTGCTCTAAGTTAATAGACTACCACTCTGTTTAATTAAATCTCCCCCCCCCCCCTCCCGCCCCCCAACCTATAGTATTGTCAGCTAATGAAGTTATAAGAAGCAGTAAGTAGTATAAAATCCTTCTGTTACCTTGGTGTATGCCAAAGTGCCTCCTCAGATGACCCTAGATCTGGCCCAAAACATTTTTGAACCACAGCTGCCATCAGACTCTAAATTGTATGGATGTTCAGTCAGCTTGTCCTCAGAGATTTAAGCCACACAATAAGCAGCAGAGACAAACTGTCACATAACCCCTTTATAATCAGATTATACTAAAGGAATCTTTGAAAATGCTGTGTATATGTTTTTAAACAACACATCTTGTTGAAACAGGGACAAATCAAGAGGCTGTAACACGTCTTCCACAAAGGGGGTGAAATATGAATGCTGTAAGCATAACTAGGCTTTTCTTTACAACAAACATAATCAAAGCATAGTAGGAGGACACCCACCGAGATACAGTCTGCATCCTGCTGAGTAACATTTAGCATTGATCCTCAATGACAGTCCCTGACAGATTGTTTCTGCATTGGTTGCCATGTAGAAAGTAGGAATCACACGATCACACATCCCGAAACAATGCTAAATATTAAAACAAGCACTAACAGAATGGTACTGTGACTTGGCAGGAAACACTGTTCACCTATAATGTTCAAGGTTAATATGAAGACATAGCAGGTCTTTTTTTCTTTAATCATATCTTCATATACTCATGGAATCCTGTTTATGTACACTTCTACATTTGAAGCTAGTCAGCTTTCATTCAGGAAATAGAATGTTTTCATATTCAAGACATATTACATCATCAGAAGAATTATTGCACGGAAAGCTTCTAACAAAGACATAGGAGGAGAATAGTGTTAGCTATGAGTACAGCTTCACTGATAATCGCACATCACATTTAAACATCCTGATTTTTTTTATGCCTATTTTTATTCATTTTCCTTATTTACTTTCAGCTACTCAATGAGTTCTGGAAAACTATTCTGTAAGGGTTTATTTGAATTGTACCTAAATAAAACTGTGCAAGCTGTTTTGTCAGCTAGGAAACAAAATAGTGGGAACATAGCAGGTTTTGCTGACAGTCCCAGTTAGATTTTTATATCCTACATTCCCAGAGATGGTAGTTTGCTTGATGTTGTACATATGAAGAAATGAAAGGAGAACACAAATAAGAAGCCGCAAAAGAAAAACTGTTACAGTGGATATTACTTCCAGTGGGCAGCATGGAGACTGAGTGAATTTGTTCAAAGTTGCATTCAATTAAATTTTGCATTTTCAGATCTTTGATTAGGTGGTGGATTGTGTGTTCTTTTTGGCTTTATTTTTTTTAAGCAGTCACTATATTCACGAATGTTACACTTTGCTGACAAGCCAGATCTTGAAAGGAGTAGGAATGCATGTAAGTGGCCTAGTGTACTACTGTTTTTCCTAATTGTTTCCATTTCAAACCAGAATTCAACCTCTTACTTCACTGCAGAGAAAAACGCTTTTGTAAATAATGTAATTCATTTAGAGATGGGAGCGCCCCTCAGCCTACAAATGAAGCAAACATTTTAACAGTTGCTTTACTTCATGGAGATGTAACTAACAAAGCAATGGCTAGACACTGTACTTAACATAACTCATTTGTGAAGCCTTTTCTTCCTGGAACAAACCATCATAGCCACAATATTAAATTGCAACAAGCTGCAAGTACGGATGTAACTAGAGGTGCAGGGAGGACAGGGAAGAGGGCACATTCAAAGTTAAGCATCTCTAATTGCAGAATGGCTCTGTAAACTCATCTGTTATCTGATTGTGTATTAAACTCCTGCTGTTTGCTCTCAAGTGATAAATGAATCAAATTTTTAATTGGAAAGTTGGGGTTTTTTTAACACTATGTAAATAAATAAGGAAACTGGTCTTGGTCAAATGTAAGTAAAACATAGATACCTCTGTGCATATATTTTCTTGTGCTTAACTCATTTTCCTAAGTACATGATTAGGAAGAGGATATTAGGAGCATAACATCACATTAGCTTCAAATCTCCTGCTGGCCTCATCAGTTTTCTACTGACCCTATGTCCTGCACATACATTGACAGAGTTGGAAGGAAGAATACAGACAGTAACCTTTAATTGTTTCCACAATTCTACATCAGAAATATAATCTACTTTTAAAATATGAAAAAAAAAAGTCTTAAAAAGCAGAAGGAAACACTCTTAATTGGGGAAATAACTGTTGATATATTTTTTGCATAAAAAGTAGACTTATCAGCCATTTTTTCAATTACCTTTCCTTTCTGATGACATATAAACTGTACAAATTCTAAGCAAAAGGAAAATTAAAGGTGTTAGGTTATTTGCCTTAAGGTTCCAGCAATGTTCTGAATCATCTCCTGGAGGATGTAGTCTCTTCACTGACAAAAGTGGCGTAAAGGGCCACTCACTCAAGGTACCTAACCTTATCAAATCTGAAGAGCAGCATTAGATTTATTCCAGAACTCTAATGACTGCACTATCTGTTGAAAAAGGTTCTATCCTCCCAAGGAGCTTCCCTTTGCCTTTTTATCAGGCAGGAATAGCTGGAAGGGACAGAGTTTTCTTGAATTTTGGAGGAAGAGCAAAAGGCAAAAAGCATTTCTCCCTCAGGAGAACAATTTCATAAAGATGGTGGGAAGCATTCATTTGTTCTACTTGTGTGGAAGAGATAGTTTGAAAGAAAATAACCTCTTTTTGTACTGGACACCAGCCATAGTAATAGAAGTGCATTGTAAGCAGCTATATGCACATATGCCCCTGCTATCAAGCTGATGATGGGGAAGGAAAACCTAGATGGACCACATAGACTTCTAGATTGAAAAGTTATCTTGCTGGCAGGTCTAACCTGAGGAAGAAAGCAGCGTAGACAAAGAATTTTTATGTTAACTGGAAAGCTTCCTCTCTGATCGCTCTCCCCTCCACCCCTAACGTTCTTTTATGTATACCTTTACTTTGGCCTCTTGGTGAAGCTCAGCATTTATGTTTACTGGGGTTTTTTTCCTAGGGCTCACATAGGAAAAACTGTTTCTGTACTTTCCCTTTACATTATTGCCAATTTTAAAATTAATTGCACCCAAACTGAGATTTACAAGAAAAATACTCAACACAATGAGAAAGAAAAAAGTGGAGAGTGTGTTACTGCCACACAGAGAAACACAGCCTATTTCCTGTGCCTTGCAGAGCGCATTTTGCTCCTGTACATCAAGTTTCAACCTGGAGAACTTTGCTGAAGCAAGGTCATAACAGAAACACTGACACAGCCTTAATTATAACATAAATGCTGCAGCTATAACGAAAATCTGTGCAACCTCCAGTAAAAACACATACACTATAATCAGACCAAGGATCACTTTTGGGGGCCACAGTAGCTTTGTGATTTAAAAAAAAAAAGAAGAGAAAAAAGTTTTAAACTCCTTTGCCTAATATTCATATAGATGAAGGCTAGAATTGCATTAAATTACATTGTGTATAGCATCAGAGGACTGTTTCTGTTATTATCTCTAAGTCCGAAGGAAATTACTGGCTGGATGCAATCAAGTTCCTTCCAGTTAATTGCTTTCAAAACTAAATGTGAGCTGGCAGAGAAGCTAGATATCTGGTTATAAGAATTACTTCCTTGCATGAACTGCTGCTGTAATCCAGCTGGCTAATAAGCAGGGGGAAGTTGCCAAGCCACCGTAGTAGTCTCATCCTAGTATCTGACAAAGTAGCCTGAATGTACCCGTTCTTCTCAAACTATTAGATGCTTAGATTTTTTTTTGCCTTTTAAAATTTTTTTTTTCCAGGCTTCTTCAAGTTTGATCCTTTCTGATGTACAGCTTTGCATTTTATCCTGCAAAATGCAAGGTTTCATAACTGTCTGTTCCCCGTTACAGAAACAAACTTCTAAATGGTGACCAGTAGTAGCACACTGACCCAAAACAGTAAACTCTGAACTCTTTACTGTCTACAGTAAACTTGTTTAAAACCTTATCCCTGCAAACGCTTAAGTTTTTTCATTCTTTAAAAGTGAAACCAGAGGTTGGTAGAAGACCTCTTCTGGTTGATTCCTATGAAGAAGCCTGTTTACAGACGGGAACATAATCTACCCAGTCTGTAGGAAAATATCCAAGAGAAGTATGAGCCATGCCTGGAGTTGGCCTCTTCAAAGCTGCTGATAACTGTGAAACTGCCACTTTGAACCATATAACCAAAAGTATTTGATACTTGATCAACATTAACTTTCAAACATCAAATCAATTATAGAATTTTCAAGCCAGGATTTATTAATCACTTGAAGAAATATAGAAGACCATGGTTTTGCTCAACTTCAGCTACTGTGACATTGGATCGACAGGACTAACAAAATAAATGTAGATGACAACTTGTGATTATTAAATATTTTAGTTACCTTAAATTTATTATAGACTTATCTACTACATTTCATGTAGCTCCCCCCACATTAACTCCCCATAAAGAACAGCTAAATTCCACATGGGGACCCACAGTGTCTAAAATTCTGAAAGATGGCTGATAAGAATATTACCAAGGGCAAAATTTTTAGAATGCATTCTGTGAAGACTCTTCTTCCCTGTTTCCAGTTCTAGGCTTTTAATCATGTATTTTCCTCCTT